CCAACACCTCCAAGTTGTTGGGTTTTGCAGGATCAGCAGCTGGGCCCTGGGTTGTCCTCAGATGGACTGTTCAGATTCTTTCTGTTTCTGTCCCACAGAGATAGCTTCTTCCCCGGGTGTTGGGGTTAAAGGCATCCCTGTTCCAAGCTCTTGATTAAGAGCTTGTTTTCACTAGCTCTTCAGCAGGTAATAGCCCAGTTTCTGGTCTTTATTGCAACTGTGTTTCAGCTGCCGCCTGCTGGGCCTGCCTGCCTTCCCTCCAGGCTTGTCTTCCTCTGCTGGGCCTGCCTGCCTCTGCGGGCCGCCACTGGGCCTGTCTGTCTGTGCCCAGTAGTGTTTCTTTTATGAAGCCAGGGGTTCTTGTGTTTGATCCTAGATGTTTAGAACTGCAATGTCCTCTTGGTGGATTTTTCCTTTGATGAATATGCAGTGTTTTCCCCTATCTCTTAAGATTAGTTTCAGTTTGTAGTGTATTGCTAGCTGGAGGGTCAGCCTCCAGGTAGCACCATGTTATGCAAAAAAAAAAAAAAAAAAAAAAAATCTAAGAATGAGGTGAGGGCTAGACTTTTTCTGTCTGAGGGGAAAATAAGGAAACACACACTTTCTGATGGCAACTTTCTCTTTTACTTCAACTTGAAAAAATTCCTCTCTCTGAAACATCCCTCTTGCTCTCCTCTGCATTGGGGAGTGCAGAAAAATGGTGTATTGTCCAATAGATTGTTCGATTACCAGAGCCTCCTCTTACTGGCAGGGCTGAGGAGTACCCCAGCTAGAGTTTAAAGGGGCTGGTGCTTCAGCAGGCTATGATCTGCAATCCTTTGCCCAATAAAATCCCTTATTGCATCTGGGGCATCAGGTCCTAGATTTTGCCTGGGGGCAGTCACACCACAGATGGCATGGTTTGCCACGTCCCCAGCAAGATCTGCCTACTTGGGGCCCTTGGGTGTGTCATTGGCACACTGCTTGTCCACAAGGAGGGCATCCAGGGAAGCGGTGAGGGCAGCAATGGGACCATTACTGGGGTCAAGCTCTCCTGTGGCCAGGACCCACTTGTGAATGTCCTCATTGCAGACCACTGTGACCACACTGCAGGTGGGGGCATTAAGCCCTTCCCAAACCAAACTGTTTGATTAACATTTCCCTAATGGGGTCTGGGTCTACTTTCTGCTACACCGCGTCATTGACATGTATGAGAAAACCAGTGAAAAATCCCCCTGGCTGTTGAATAAGATCGTGGAAGTAAGCTGAAGGGTACTGCGGGGTGCATGCCTTATGAGCCTTGAAGGCCAGGTCAGAAACCTGTTGGTAGTAGGCTTGATGGCCAGTCTGTGCCTGATGGACATGATGGACAAAGTTACCTTGTCCAGTGAGCATGCCAAGAGTTACTGGAATGTTAATTAAGAGGTTCATTTGTGCTTGAGCTTCTGCTTGATTTCCAGCTAAGAAAGGAGGCTGAGTCCAGCACAGCTTTGAGCAGACTATACCTATCAAAGTAAGTCTGTAGTTGCATGCCCATTGAGTGAGGACCTGTTCGAAGTAAGGTGAATATGGGCCCAACTCATTAGCTGCTTTCCAGATAAGGGAGAGTTCAGCTATGGGAATGGGAATCCAGGGCTGGCTAGTGGTATTTTGTTCCAGGTTGACCAGAAAGGCTTCCACTGGCCTTTGAGGCCTGAGATGGGGAGTGGGCTGCAGTGGCTGAGGGGTATACTGCAGCACGAGGGGATTTCCACCTTCAGGGGCAGGTGGACATTGAGGCACTCCACTTCAAGGGTACCGATGAGGAGATGCAGCCTCCTGAGGTGGGAGTGGGGCTGACAGGGAAGCCGCACATGTAGTCTTAACTGTGGACATCCTCTCAGCAGGTTTTTCAGGGCCTAAACTGTCTGCCTCCTCCTCAGTAGATGCCATAGAGAGATCAGACATGGAAGGGGTGGAGGTGATGGAGAGGTCACCCATTTTGTAGAGGGAGGCAGCAGGCAAGCAACAGTTAGAGAGAAGATGGCAGTCAACAGAGGTGGAAAATGTGTCAGACCATTTATGTTCAGGGCTAAGTGGGGGACTTCCATGCTTTCTTATGCCACAGCCGTGTGCCCACACAGTGTCTCCAGACGAGGGACAGTGTTTGGGAGCCGAACCTTGGTTCCATCTCCTGGGGAGTCAGCCCTTATGTGGAGGCACCAAGTGAACCAAAACAGGAAAAATGTACCTTTCTAACAAAACAGGCAGACAAACATGACAGACAACACAGAAGAAGGAAAGAAAGGGGGGTCCTAATGCTTACCTGCTGAAGTGACCGAAAACATACAACATTGAGGAGTCTTCTCACCAAAATACACCATCTTGGGAGTGTTATCAGACACCATGAGTAAGGGGAGGGAGATGACCAGAACCTGTCTGGGCTCCCTTGGTGTAGGGGGTGAGAAGGCACAGCATCAATGGCACAGACACTAGGAGTCAGGTGAAAGGCAAACAGCAGATTCATTTATTCAGTAATGGAGAAAGCCTTATATACCCTTCTCCCAGCACCCAGGCTGCATCCTAATTTGGTGACATTGCATGGTCACCCCTCATTGGCTAGGCACGATCAGGACCTCTGACAGTGCCTGTTGCTAGGCCCTCAGGCAGACTCCAGATTGGCTCATAAGGAAGTATGTTATGTGCATTCCTTGGCAACTGATTTGAGCCTTATTTTCCTACAATAAATAAATGTGACCGGGCGGTGGTGGCGCACGCCTTTAATCCCAGCACTAGGGAGGCAGAGCCAGGTGGATCTCTATGAGTTCGAGGCCAGCCTGGACTACCAAGTGAGTTCCAGGAAAGGCACAAAGCTACACAGAGAAACCCTGTCTTGAAAAACCAAAAAAAAAAAAAAAAAAAAAAAAAAAAAAAAAAAAAATAAATGTGAAAGAAAAATGAGTAAGGACACAGTGGTTGGCAGTCTTTCTCTGCCTGCTGGGCCTCGGCATCTGCAAACAGCATCAGGGTTGCTATGGTGACCAGTGTAGCTGCGGAAGAAAACTGTGGAGTCTGGTTTGTGGCAGCACTTTCACCAGGGTAGCTAACTAAAAGGTGCTTCTTTAGATCTACAGTTTTCATCTATCACCTAAGTGGTTAGAACCAGGTAGATTTAAGGCATGTGGTACAAGGTCCAGGGCCTGACAAATTCTAGTTACCCAAACCAAACGGTGGGGCTTGTCTCTAAATGCCACCCACATGAAGGGAACTATCTTACTCCTGCACTGGCTAAATAAGCAATGACTTTTTCTGTTATTTCTCAGGGTTAGGACACAGGCAGTAAATTTCCTAGGTATGTTTCTATATCCAGTAAACCAAAGTGAGAGTAGGTGTAGAGGATTAATAGCTTTTTAGGGTTGGAGCTGGGGGTCAGCTGAGGTTAGCACTTTCCCAAGTCAGCTACAGGAGAATTTAGGGCACTCACTCTCCCTTACCAGGAGGGACCAGAATCAAATGGGTTTGGACGTCCCTTTATCTCTGAAGATCCCTAATGTGATCTATTTGAAAGACTCCTTTCCTGACTATATTGTTCTGCCAAATGGGAGACAATTGCAGGGAGCTGGCTTCTAATGTTTGTTTCAGGGAACAAAGCAGAGATTAGACTGTGGAAACCAAGGTTGGGAACAGAACAGAGATTAGGCTGTGGGAACCAAGATTGTTGACTATGTGACTAAATTCTCTCACTGGAGATCCCATGGAGTTGGGGTGAAGTAGCACATGGGAGAAACTGTGCCCAGTAATCCATACACTGCTGGATCTTTCTTGGGACGGGTTTCACTCAAAGAGGGGAAAGCTTATGGCTTCATACAAGAAATCTACAGCAGGAAACAGCCAATTCATTCAAAAGGCAATAGCTCCAATACTCCCTGAATTCTTGCTTTAATCCCCCATCAGATTATGGTGGGTTGACCTTATAAATGATGGCTGAATTCTCACTGCACAATTTTGCAGCCCACAGCAGGTGGCAGCCCAGACCTTGGGTGTCCATGTGGCCTTTCATGGCAACATGGGCAATGGATGTTAACACAGACCCTGGCTGGCCTAGGACCATGGACCCAGGTGGGTCTGTGGCTGTCTTCCACCTGCCAGGACTGAGAGGACAAGGTCTTAAATTTGGTCTTGTCATGGAATATCTTATTTTCTCCATATATGGTGATTGAAAGTTTGCTGGGATAGTAGTCTGGGCTGGCATCTGTGGTCTCTTAGAGTCTTCAAGACATCTGCCCAGGCCCTTCTGACTTTTATAGTCTCCATTGAGAAGTCAGGCGTAATTCTTATAGGTCCGACTTTATATGTTACTTGACCTTTATCCCTTGACACCTTTAATATTCTTTCTTTGTTCTGTACATTTAGTGTTTTGTTTATTATGTGGTAGGGGGACTTTCTCTTCTGATCCAATTTATTTGGTGTTCATTAGCTCCTTATATGTTTATAGGCATCTCTTTCTTTAGGTTAGGGAAATTTCCTTCTATGGTTTTGTTGAAAATATTTTCTGGGCCTTTGAGCTGGAAATCTTCTCTTTCTATTCCTATTATTCTTAGATTTTGTCTTTTCATAGTTTCCCAGATTTTCTGGATGTTTTGTGTTAGGAGCTTTTTAGATTTAACATTTTCTTTGACCAATGTATCAATTTTTTTCTATCATATCTTCTACACCTGAGATTCTTTCTTCCATCTCTTGTATTCTGTTGGTATGTCTATAGTTCCTGCTTACCTAGATTTTCCATCTCCAGGATTCCTTCAGTTTGTGTTTTCTTTATTATTTCTATTCCCATTTTCAGGTCTTGAGAAGTTTTATTCATTTCCTTCACCTGTTTGTATTTTCCCAGATTTCTTTAAGGGGTTTATTCATTTCCTCTTTAAGGGCCTTTATCATCTTCTTAAGATTGGTTTTAAGGTCCTTTTCTTGTGCTTCAGCTGTGTTGGAATATTCAGGGCTTGCTGTAGTAGGATAGATGGGTTCTGGTGATGCCATAGTGTCCTGGCAATTGTTGGTTGTATTCTTACACTGGCCTCTAGTCATTTGGGTTAGGGTCTATTATAGATTCAGGTGCTGATTTCTGAGTTTACCTTTGTTAGATGAATGTTTCTTTCCTTGACTTCTGTTTCTTTTCTGCTCTTCTGGCCTGAGTGGCCTGGTGTTCTGGTGACCAGCAAGTCTTCAGGTCCAGTAGGGTTCTCCACTGGGGTTTTTATGGCCTGTGTGACCTCTGGAATTTTGGGTGCCAATGTTGCCTCTGGGGTTCTGTAAATAGAAGCAGAGTTTTTTTCCCACCTGTTCCCAAATATCCAGCAGCCACTTCCTAAATTACCACACAGAGGCTTATATTAATTATAAATGCTTGACTGATGGCTCAGGCTTATTACTAACTAGCTCTTACATTTAAATTAACCCATTTCTATTAATCTGTGCATTGCCATATGGCCTGTGGCTTATGGTCCTTAGGCATCTTGCTCCTTGGGCAGCTGGCTTGCATCTGCCTAGCTCTTCCCTCTTCATCCCAGTCCTCAGCTTGATATTTTTTGCCTAACCTTATCCTGCCTGACTATTGGCCAAAACAGCTTTATTATCAACCAATGAGAGTAACACACACTCACAGCATACAGAAGGACCATCCTATAGTAGAGTTCTAAGAACCTGTGTGGCCTCTGGGGTTCTTAGTATGGTGTGGCCTCCAGTAGAGCAGAAGTCTTCTGCTGAAGTTGTGGGCTGGATTATGGAGCCCAGGGGAGGGGGTGCAGCTGGGGACTGTTGGGCAGGCTTTAAGGAGTTTTAGCTGGCAGTGGGTGATATCTTACCTGTGGTCTCTAGTACTGGCATGGCCTCTGGTAAAGCAGAAGTCTTCTTCTGGAGTTGTGGGCCAGAATATGGAGCCCAGGGGAAGGCATGCAGTTGGGGCTGTTGGGAGGGCTTCAAAGAGTGATAGCAGGAGGTGGGTGATAGAAAAGCTTATTCTCTAGAATAAGCTTGGCCTCCAGTAAAGCAGCCAGAATTTGGTCCTTTCTATTCTTAATCCCATTCTAGTATCTTGAGGCAGAAGGGTCAAGGTCCTAGGGAAAAAATACAGTCACAAAATGAATAGAGTCTGGGATTCCAAATCACCATGTAGAGAGATCTGTTGAATAACCAAGAACAGCTTCCTCACACCAAGTGTGGGCTTGTGATAATATAATATTTTATATTAATTAATTAATCTAACTATTACCATAAAACAGAATAAATGGAAAGGATGGATACTTTGCAATCAAATATACATTTGTAGGGGCTAGAGAGATGGCTCAGCAGTTAAGAGCACTTGCTGCTCTTGCAGAAGACCTGGGTTTGGTTCCTAATACCCATGTAGTGATTCACAACTGCCTGTAACTCTAGTTCTGTGGGATCCAGTATCCTCTTGTGGCCTTCATAGGCACCAGGAATGTACACAGTGCACATATACACATGCAGAAAAAACACACATACACATAAAAGTTTTTTTTTTAAAAAAAAAACACATGCTTTGTAGTTAGATTTGAATTTTCTGGATGATGAGTATAGAAACAAGCTAGAAAAGAAACCATCTGTCCTGTGGAAGCTGGACTTCATTCAGGGCCTTTTGGTCTCACTGTTGTATCTCATCTTGACCAGTGCTTTCCCCAGTCATTTCTTCACTGCCAAGGATCCCAGGCAGCAGCCTCTTCAGCTTGAGCATGGGTGGAATCCACAATAGTGCCCAACCATTTTTAGTTCTGGGGTGTTTTGTGTCTTTCCATATTGATGTAATTCTGTGCCATTCTGACCATTCTGTTGCCTTCCCAAATGATTATTTGGTGATTTGTACAACAAAATGGGAGCCTTCTAACAGTCCATAAACAAGGTGGCTTATTAAGCAAAGGGACTCCATAAGACACCAGGCATGTAAGCTATTTTTTTTTTCTGAGACAGGGTTTCTCTGTGCATCTTTGTGCCTTTCCTGGAACTTACTCTGTAGCCCAGGCTGGCCTTGAACTCACAGAGATCCACCTACCTCTGCCTCCTGAGTCCTGGGATTAAAGGTATGTGCCATCACTGCCTGGTATAAGCTATTTCTTTAAAAGTAAGGTTTATTGCTAATCTTGGGAAATGTTTTAAAATTCCAGATTAATTGCAACATCCGTTTCCTGAAATGAAATACCTTACTTTGAATCAACACTTTTCTGGAATGCCAGGCCTATAGCCACACTCAGTGGCAAGGATGGAGAGTGGTTCCCACAGTATATTATCACCTTTTTCCAGTCACCATTACAGATTTCACCAGGATACAGCCTAGGACATGCACAGCACCTGGTATAGCATGTCTGCATGTGCTCCAAGGGGACCTGTGCAGGATGGAGCTTTTCAGAGATGTGCTTGGGTGGTACAGCCTGGCATGGGTCTATTCACTGTGGATCTGCTCCAGTCTGTTTGGAGATGTCCCTGGAGGGAGGTCTGGGTGGTTTCCATCTCTCTCCTGGGCACTGACAGCCTGCACTGTTGGCTTGAGAGATGTAATAATACAACTAAAACAAATCATGGACACATTTTTCCCTGGAGTTGCCATCTGCCCTAGACCATTCTCACCCAATAAGCAAGCCCAAATCTCCAGAAAAATAAGCATTTCATAAGCACTTGTAAACTTACATTCCTCCATGCCTTCATTTTGTCTGCAAACTCCCAAACCCTGGATACTTCTTGAGTTGCTGTCTTCAGGTTCAGGAGCTGATAATATTTGATATCAAGACTTTATGTTTAAAAGTAATATTTTACCTCTGATAAAATTACTCTCTTGGCAGGTTTTCAGGAAACAAATGCTTACCATGAAAAATTTTAGACAAACTAATTCTAGAGAAATTAGTCACTCAGTACTTTGAAGCATTTGTAACTTCTAAATTCCCAGAAAAATCAACATGGGGCAGACTTCTTGCTGATTTCTTGACTTTTTTATTCTCCTAAGAATGCCAATCTCTCAGTGGGGTAGAATATAATTTATGAGCCAGTACTGGTCTAAATTAATTTATGATGAAAATATTTTTATAGGAGTGGTTATAAAAGTAGGTGGTAATAGCTCCATCCCAGAGTATCCCCCAAATTCAGGGCAGAATGGGATCTGCTAGGCAGGCTTTTCTCTGTTTTGCTCTGTCATAGTCTGGCTGGTCACTGGAGTCATGAGAGCCACCTACTGGGCTTAAGAAGCCTATAGCAGGCCCTTAGGCTCCCTAGCTCAGAACTACTCTCAAGATAGGTAACCAGGTAAAGTCCAGACTCAAGTGCCAAAGGGCCTAATTAATACCAGATATCTACCATGGCAGGAAAATTAACCTGCCATCTACCATCTACCAACATGAAAGAGGAGCAGGAATGTAAGCAACTCATTTTATAGAGAGGGAGAAACAGCTTGAAGTTCAGGTGGCATGGACTCTAGGCCAAGGGTGAATGGCATAACTATTTGGCCAATGTCAAGAAGACAGCAGATTGAAAGTCTTATGAGTAGGAAGTCTATGGTGGGAAGGATGAGGAGGAGCTCTTGGTTGTTAGCATCTTTGAGTCTTACATTATTCACTAGAGAACACTCATACAGAGGTTGTATCAACAGTGAGGTCCATAGGGTGTTTTCATTTTGTGGATGTGGACAGTGAATGCTGAATATTTAAGATGGTGTCACTTCCTGAAGAGACCAAGCCAGCCAGTGGGTAGCAGATTGATTTCAGTTTTTGTTTTCTACCCTAGATGTCTTCCCTACAATGCATCTCTCTCATCTCTGCCATCCAGAAACTCATGGGATAGCTGATTAGTTGCCATGTGGCTCTGCCTAGTGTGTGACCGTGAGCACATGACATATTTGTCAGTTATCTGATCAGTCAGAAGAAGCAGGTCTACTGGGAGAGCGGGAAGAGTGCTGAAGGCGAGAAGGCTAGCTCTGGGGCTCTGGAGTTTGTATCAACTACTGCTTGTTTCTATGACCAAATACATGGCAGAACTTAAGGACAAAAGTCTATCTGGATCTTGGTTTCAGAAATTTCAACCAATAGTCCTCACATTGTTTTGGGGTCACAGTGAGAGAGAGCATCATGATGGTAGGTATATGTGGAAGAGGCTGTTCATCTCACAGCAGACAGGAAGCAGAGTGAGGCAGGTACCAGGACCACTGATGGACTTCCTCTTAAAGTTTTCCCAAACTCCCAAAATAGCACCACCAGCCAGGGGCCAAGTGTTTAACACATGAACGTGTGGGGAACATTTCATATTCAAGTCACACACAGGCACCAAGAGGTAGAATTGCAATGGACCCCTATAGTCATTGCTTCTCTACCTTATAGCTTCAGGTTCTACCATATTCTAGTCCTGGTTTCTGCAGGAGAAACCAGGCAATCACCAAAGTTGAAACTGATTGCTGCTTGGTTACTTCAGTCTATATCTTAGTTAGGGTTACTAGTGTTGTGATGAAACTCCATTGTAGGGGTGGTTGTCTGTGCTTTACCCTGAAGCACCATCCCTAGTAAGCGGCAGGTAACTGCTAGGTACCTGTCCCCCACTGGAGTGTGGCCGAGGGGGGACCCCTTAAGACCTGAGATGCATACGTGCTTGCCCTCTTGGCTACCTCGTGGTCTTGGATGCTGGATACTGGTGCTATGAATCAAGGCATAGTTCTACAGATAACCATGGTGGATCATGTCTCACCCCTCCTGGATCCTGCAACCAACTCCCTTATGCTTGTTGTGAGTTAACCCAAAATAAACCCCTTTGATTATCAGATAAACTCCATGGAATTGCCTCATTATCTGGTGCCCAATGTAGGGCCTCTGTCTTTTGCTCCTTGGCTACTGGGGCGCACTTCCCATGCTTCCCTGTCTCTTTTAAAATTCCCTCTCCTCCTGGGGACCCAGAACTTACCCATTCAGCTCACTAATGTGTATGTAGTTTCATGTTTCTCAGGGTTATGGATAATGGTTATAGGGTTGGGGATGGAAGAAAATACTGAAGTCAGTATTCTCCTTAAGAAAAAGGGGAATGGATAGGTATAGGATATTAAGGTAGATTACTGTATATACTAGTAAATTAATTTAGTAAAGTATCAGCCTTAGATAAATTGCACTGTTATGGATTCTTGTATATTTGTACAAATGTAAACTATTTTTATATTCCTATTTAAGATAATTTGTATATTGATACAAATACAGAACTATATTTTTTGTAATGTACATGTATTTCTACTCTTATTTGAAATGTCTGTATATTGATACAAATGTAAAATTGTATTTATCATACTGTATGTATGTTCTACCTCTGTTTAGGATATTTTATATATTGATACATATTTAGGATTATTGTCATATTGCATATTGCACTATACATTCCTACCTTTGCTTAAGCTATTATGTGTATTGTCACAATTTTGAGGGCATTGTCCTTCTACTGTACATTTGCTTACAAACTGTTTACTTTGTTTACATAAAGCCTTAGTCCTTAGGTTATTTAGGTAGATAAGACGTGGTCTTGGATGCTGGCTGTTGGTGCTATGGATCAAGGCAGAGTTCTCCAGAGAACCCTCCCACATCAATCACTAATTAAGAAAATGTCTGCAGACTTATTTACAGCTCAATCTTATGGAGACATTTCCTTCATTGAGGCTCCCTTCTCTCCTATGAATCTAGCTTGTATCAAGTTACCATAAAAGTAGCCAACATAGTCTATTATGTCAGTGGACAAGGTAGCAAAGAAAAATTAGCTATAAACTAGGCATGGTGGTACAGGCTTGTGATCCTAGCTCTTAGGACATTGAAATAGAAGAATCACAAGTTTGGGCTACATAGTGAAGATCTGTTTAAAAAAAAACAAAAAGAGAAGATAAATATATATAATGATGGATAGAAGTAATCCTCATACTAAGAGGAGTTAGAGTTGTTCCAATGGAGCACAAGGTATATGAGCCATGTTAATAATAGGGCCTGATGACCAAGGCATCTAAGGACTCTGGGCTAAGGTTCTGGGTCTGCCCACAAGGCAGGGGGCCTGAGGAAGTTATTGGTAGTAAAGGGGGAATTCAGTACTTGACTTT